CTATCTATCTATCTATCTATCTATCTATCTATCTATCTATCTAATCTGTATATCTATCTAAGAGCGGTGGTGGCTTAGCGGTTATGCAGTGGTTATGCAGAAGTGCAGGCTAATTCTGCCGACTGCCAGGTGTTCGATCCTCACTGGCTCAAGGTTGACTCAGCTTTTCATCCTTCTGAGGTGGTAAAATGGGGACCCAGATTGTTGAGGGAAAAAGGCTGACTCTGCAAGCCGCTTAAAGAAGGCTGGAAAGCACTGGAAAGCTGCATATAAGTGCTATTGCTATTATTTTATTATTTTATTTTTTTATTAATCTTATGTGCTCTGTTACTCTATAACCAAAATAAAGTACTTTGCCAAAACACTTCCACTTTGCAAATATTTCACACATTTTGCAAATAGTGACAATCGTGCTAATGCTATGTGAAACCTGTACACTTCCTGATTCTCAACAATGCTGGGCTGCTGACTTCAGACAAGAGATCAGAACAGAATCAATCAAACATGAAGAGGAAAGATAAAAGCTGGCAGGTGGGATCGAGAAGATAAGCCTCCCACTCCCCCAGGGAAGCCCTGGGTCGAGAGCCAGGTCTTCACAGCTCTTCTAAACAACATGCGAGGGGGGGGGCTCCAGATTTGGGGAGGGGGGAGGGTAACCTCATTTCAGAGGACATTTCACACATTTTACAGATACTTCACACATCCCACCTACCCCACACACTCACCACCATCACAAAGCTGGAACTCAACCTACGGAACAAACCCTCCAAGCTTAAAAGCCCTTTTAGATTTTTAGGGTCCCAAGTAATTCAGGGTAGTGCAAAGAGACAGACGTGCACAAAAGAAAAAAGAAGGAATTATAACTGCAGAAGCTATTTGATACTCAATTCAACAAGCCTCATTTCTCTGTTTTTCTATTTTGGCTGGAATCATCCAGCGCCGTAAATGATGAATCGACCCCAGACCCGCCAGAGTCAGTTCATTTGGACAGTTACCTGCAACCCAACTGGTCCTGGAAGGCCAATAAATCCTCTTGACCCTTCATCGCCCTTCTGTCCGAAAAGCCCTTGCTGTCCTCGTGGGCCGGGCTCCCCATCGGCTCCCTTGGAAGGAGAGAGAAAAGTGTACAGCGAAAGGCAGATTAAACGCTGAATTTCATGCAGAAGGAAGACCGAGCTCTCTAATATGCATTAGGCCATCGAAGGTTATAGCCATGCAGGCATCCATCCAGGAATTTAAGGAACTCAATTCTACAGAGCTTGCAGAGTTCCTTAAACCAAGCAATTCAACTTGATGGGGCTTTTATTTGAAAAGTTTGATCTATTTACGCTCCCAGAGCTACACACTGCAGTTAAAAGGATA